CTTGAACAAGTCCACTACGCACCAAACTCCTAGTTCCTCACTATTTGCAATTTCTTTTTTTTTTTTAAAATAACGTATGCCACTGAATTCCCAGAGCTGTGCAGAAAAAGAGTTGCTCTTGGATCCAAGAAATAATCAGCAAATTGAGCTTCGCAGCAATACCGACATTTTGAATAATCGTATATCATCCTGTTTCGAATTTCAACGTAACAACATCAGCTGGTACCAGTGCGATGGTAACAGACGTTTCATGTAAGTGTTATATTTTTTCTAATACTGAGTTAGCAAAATTTGTTAGGAACTGGCCTTGTCTTTGCTCCATGCCTTCAGTTTTTGATGATTCAGATATCATCGAAAAATGCTATTAGTTTCTATAATTTTTCTTCTCTTAAGTCTTTTCCTAGCTTTACACCTCACACGCTAACCAAAGTCGATCCGAACAAATACACTGTAATGTGGAAGAAGCAAAACAGCATGGCTATACTGGCAGCAGCCAGGAAATACCTCTCGGCATTATGTTCGGTTGAGCGTTATAAATTACTGCACTCCTTTTGCAATAATTGATATCGAAAAACGAAGCAGTCATGAGTAGTAAGTAGGGAAACGTAGCATCTGTACTGGGTGTTGATCAGAACTGTTGTGGTTGTGGCTGCTAGTACCCTGAAGCTGCATGCATTTCGGTCACCACCACAAAGAATACACGGCGTTTTGGTGTGTGCTCACAGTTGCAAAGGGCAAATATGTAAGGTTTCCAGATATGCAGCTAGAAGACTGTATGGCGTATCCGGTTCCAACAAAACACTTTTAAAAATAGTCTGTGCAAGTTTGTACAGAATATTTTGCAGCCATGAGACAACTGGGATAAGAAATAGGTCCTCCATCTTGCGCTTAAGAGCTGTGAAAGGCAGCTGAGTAAAAAATCGCAAAGGCACCTTAAAAGACCCAAAGATATCCAGAAAACGATGACAATAATAAATTATGCAAAGACGATCTTAATAATTTAATGAAAATTGACCTTAGAAAGAGCGCGGAAAATCTTAGTGATTTAGTTCGAAACGAGCTCGCTGGTGGTTTATTGCACTTGGTAACTGTAATTCAACAATTGGCGTTGATCTGGAATTCGATTTTCTGATGACCAATGGTGCTCCGAACAGCATTTGGTTCTATCATTTCTCAGCCGATGAATTTTGTGAGTGCAATTCACGTTTCATGCATTTCTGACAAGATCACTTTGTACAGCAAGAAAGCCACGGTATTTTGTAGCGCTTAGGACAATGCTTTGCTGAAATTTCTGTACGATCAAAGATGCGCTGTTTTTCTGCCTTTGTTCAGATTATCTGAAAATAACTACTCACAAAATCTAGAATGCTTCAGTTGTGGGACCACAGTCTTTCGCTGTATGGTGAATTTTTGTGCAAAGCAAAAGCCTACCATGAATAAGCTTGCCGTCAAAATACGGATAGCCGCTGCAAAACAACGTCGGAATACAAATGTGATAGAAGTTGAAAATACTGATCTGAAATGAAGCCGAATAGCTGTCGTCCGATTTGAGAAGTTGAACTCGGAACAAATCGATGCCCAGAACTTGAGAAATGCGTAGAGAAAGCCGGTGCTCTGAACCTGGTCGAAAAACAAGAAGTTTCTGGAGTCCCCCGGCACACTGCGTGCCTTATACACCATCAAAACCGATCAGCTTTGTCCCTTGCCACCTTACCGCATACGATGATGTAATTGATGACTCACCGTTGCCAAATCAAATTGTAACCTGGCCGTAAATACGACGGTGGAGAGGAGAGTTAGGGACATAAAAATGAAATGCGAAATGGTGAATAGTTTCTAGAGGTGTTCCTCTTCGAGCCATGTACAAGAACATCAGTTAGCAATTCATTATGCGTTTTTCCGTGCAACGCTAGAGCGCCGCAACAGGCAGCGAAAACTCACTGCAATGACCCTGTCAGTGTGTCTGTGTGTCTGTGTGTGTCTGTGTGTGCCTGTGTGTGCGTGTGTGTGTGTGCGTGTGTGTGTGTGTGTGTGTGTGTTCGTCTACCCGGGTTGAGGCTGAAATTTTGCCAATGTGTTCCCCAGCCAAGTGGCACCCCAGGACCGCGGTATCAACCCTCACGCACGTCTGGGCCCCGCGTACGACCACGTGAAAGTTTTGGCGGAGAAATTGCTGTTCCGGAAAACTGAACCCTTAGGAGGATGCCCTCCACTAATTTATAACAAAAAGACTTCAAATTCAGCTGCCCAGAACTGCCCGGGACTTACGTACAGGCACGTGAAAGTTATGGCGGGAAAATTCATAACTCGGGAATGAGAAAAGCTGGAAAATTGGAACTTTGTGGGGATGTTTCCCACTCACGTACGGCCAAAAGTTTTCAAACCCAGCTCCTTAGAACCGCCCGGAGCTCACGTACGGGCGCGTGAAAGATCTTGGCGGGAAAACTGCTAAATCAGTGAAGAGAAAAGCCAGAAAGCTCAAATTTTAGGGTAATGTTCTCTGCCCATGCATAACTAAAAGATTTCAAATTCAGTTGCGTACGACTGCCAGGGACTGATGTACGGGAACGTGGAAGTTTTAGCGAGAAAATCACTAATCCGGGAACGAGAAAAGCCAGAAAACTGAAGGGTAATGTTCACTACATATGTACGACCAAAATCAGTTGTTTAGGCGAGCCCGGAACCCACGTACGGAAATGTGAAAGTTTTGGCGAGAAAACTGGTAATTCAGGAACGAGGAAAGCTAGAAAGCTGAAATTTTAGGATAATGTCCCCTGCTAATGCACGACTAACATCAGCTGCTTAGGAAAGCTCGGGGCCCATGTACGGACACGTAAAAGTTTTGACAGAAAAATTGCTAACTCGAGAACGAGAAAAGTTAGAAAGCGGAAAATTTGGGGGGCTGTTCCCCATTCATGTACGACCAAAAAATTTCAAATTCAGCGCCTTAGAACCGACTGGTACTCACGTACGAACACGTGAAAATTCTGATAGGAAAACTGCTAACTCGGGAATGACTCAACTCTTTTAGTGCGGCCTTTTTCGCTGACCAGCAACTTTCCATTTGTCGGGTCACTAAAGTCGACACCTGCAACTGACATGCGACGTAGCTGCACAATTAACTTCTCGAACTTTGAGGGCTAGTATGCTATAGGGATAGCTACTGTGATTCCTTGTAATCTTACTACGGCACGCAAAACGCAAAAACGCATGATCGCACCAGTCCACCTGGTGCGGTTCAACCTGGGTTACTGTACAGCGAGCAAAAACGCATACTGCCAAAAGATCGTCCGCGTGCGTATGTATGTGTGTGCGTGTATTCAGAAGCGAGTGAACTGGCAATTACTAAAGCTCGGCTTGCCGCGGCAATTGCACGATTTGCGAATTTACTCGCGGACCATGTAGTACGAAGCGATGACAGGGAGGGGCGGAAGAGGGGAGCAGGGAGATGTGGGACGCGAGCTGGGGCGGGACTTGAAGGGGGAGACGGGAGGGGAGTGATGAGGTGGGAAGCGGTGAGGGGCACGGGCGAAAGAGGGGGTGAGATGGAGGACAGGGGGGGGTGAAGGCGGGAAGGGATAGCGGGGCTATTGTGCGAGAGTGGTAGTCGCGGGTTCGGAGGCACGGGAGAAGGGGTAGTTGGATGGGGACGCCGGGTGGCCACGTAGGGGAAAGGGGGTGACGGGAGCAAGGAACCAGGACCGGTGCTGGTGGTTTTGTTGGTATGGGAAAGGCTTGGGAAGGATGTACACTGCAGAGGGCATAGAAGGGAGGAAGAGGGAGAAGG